ACGCTGTGCACACCTGTATGTATTTGAACCGTAACCAAATCGACTTCTTTCAGTCGTGTTCGCTATTCGTCGGTGTTACATGATGATCAGTGAGTCTTTCGTTTCCTTCTTGAATTATTCGAAAAATGCTAAAAGTCTATGTAAGAAGTCGGTTTTTGATCTCAAAGACCTTCTCACAATGGAAGTTGTAACTCAGAATGTTATAGAAAATTTAGAGCTTCACATGGAGTCTGACCTGTCTGTGATAAACAATGACGCTTGTTTTCTCGATGAGTCGTTACGTGACAGGATTAGAACCACCAGTGGTTTCCTCAACACAGATCACGTTAAGCCAGAATAGCTCAGGGATTTAACGATACGATTCGACGAAGACGACTTTCTAAGGATTAGAGAATAAATATTTCGTTATTTTGCTGGGTTTTGTCCCAAGTTTGTCACTGTTGTCAACGACTTTTAAAAAGTAAACAAATCGCCAATTTAAGTCTTTTCGTGATACGGTTTAAGTCCCCGGACTTAAGTCGATGTTTTAAATTTTTTCGTGATACGACCCCCAGGCTTTCTCTGTATATAAGGCTACGTTCAACTCAAAACCAAATATTTTGTCAGAGAAGAGAGAAAGAATATCCTTAACTGTTGTCAAACAAATATTAAAATAATGCCTCTATGAGTAAGTTGAGAATCTAAAAGATAAATTGTGAGTAATGAAACAAAAACATGTGGATCAGATACAATCAGAGAGGATCTCTAACAGCTTGAAACACGGCTGCTACCGTTTCTCTTTTACTCGCGTCTTCTGCTTCTGACGCATCGAAAACACAATCTGAATCTGAGTCAACTGCACGTTACTCTTACTTGAGACAGTCTACAGAAAAAGTCTTCAGCACTTTGTGTGCTGAAAGACGTGAAGAGTATCGCTCCTGTTTTAGTTTCTGAAAGTCGAATCGTTCCATGATGTGATGACTATTCAAAATGGTGGATTGCACAGTTTCGTATTTCAAATTAAATACAGAGCACAATAACAGTTGGGATCATTTTCGTAATGAGTAGAATTCTTTTTATATCGTTTTAGTTTTCACATATGAAGACGTGAAATAAAGAATTTCGAGCAAAAATTTGACGAAAATTTGTATCTAACGAAAGTGAAGCTTTATAGTTTGTTTGTAGGAAACTTCTGTAGGGCACATCGAACATAAGTTGAAATGAAAAGTAAGATAAGAGAAACTGCACCAGAACTTCATGCTAGTCACGTGCAACATTTTCCTCTTACACTAGTCCAGTCACTGTCGATCTGACATTGGCTATCTTTCGTCAAATATCTTAGTCTTTACTGACAGCATGCTATGTTTTAACTCTACCACACAGCAGTTCTTCTAAACTAGAGAAATATCTATTGCTACAAAAGGTTTCTCAGTATCTTATACTGTAAATACCATTTAGCAGCACGCTGCATGATGACCACTACAATATGTGCATGTATTTTTTTACTCTATATAATCGTAGAAAGAAAAACTATATATATATATATATGTGTATATATAGACATCTATATAAAAAATGTTAACAAAATCGAAAAAGTAAGCGTCTACTTCAGCACTTAAATTCATGTACATTAGCTCTATCAGCCATATGTAAACAAACAACAACATAGTAATAATGAAAAATTGATCAGTTTCACAACGAGCATATCATATAGTCTGTTGGAGTGGTGTGCACAATAGCACGCGGAGAATGATGATTATGTTTTATTATTGGGTAACTCGGATACCTCACCCGCAGCAGCTGAAGCCGCTTTTGCATTGTGATCCTTAATTTTTAGTCTAATGCTCATGTTAATTAATTTATCCGAAAAATCTATATTCTAAAACGAAAACACAAGAGAAGTGCAATTGTTATTATTTATAAAACAATCAAATTATGATATTTCTATTCAACATTGATTTGCGTAGTTTTTTCAGGTTAGTAGTTTTAGTTTACTGTGTACATCAATACTTTAAGAGAGTATCGTTTTCTAGAATATGTATTGTGCATTAAGTGCGTGTAGTTGTGTTAGTAGCATTTCCAAAGAAGAAAGAAAGGATCTATTATAAATTACAATTGTCAGCCCCCCCATACTATTTTCTACTAGTCGCTATGTTATTAATCAGAATTATGAATAAAATCTTACGATATGAGATTTTCTTCTAAGTGTAGAAGAATTTAATGGATGGCAAACGCTCACATGCCATTTGAATTCCTATAATTAGTCTGTCTCAGTATAGGAATAGCGGTATAAAAATAAAACTTTTTAATAAATACTTACATCCACTCTCAATTTTGAATCACCAGTTGATGGTGGTGAATTACCACGTTTTCCACTTGTACCACTTTCTAAATTTTTAAACATTGCCACACGTTCTTTAGCCACACCACTTGACGCTAAATCATTGTCAATTTCAACTGTTCGTTTTACCTTTAGAAAAAATAAAATAAAATAATGATGATTTCAAACATTTTTGATGTTGTTGGTGTTATGTAAAAGAAGAATAAAATAAAGACAAGTCACTTGTAAGATTTTATTGAATATAATTTTCGTTAGAAAGTCAAGGTAGGAAAGAAGCAAAGATTATTTAATTTTGTGCTCAGGAATATATAGTAGTTGTCTTAAGTATATACATTATATTAACTTGATATTGGCAGGAAACATTAGCTATCTAAAGTACATTCATTAGTAACACAGTTTCTAGATGAAATAGCACAAGATAGTGCTAGGATTAAGAATCTAAGAAATATTTTTGAAAAATAGAGCAGATAAAATTTTGCGCCAAGTATATACCGGATGAAACTTGTAACTAATTGTATATTCACAAATAATGGCAGTTTTTGTACATAGTGGTAGTTGAAATGAAAACCTGATAAAAAATTACGCTATATACTACATCGAAAATGACTGGTATTCGAAACAACACGTTTGAAACCTAAAAGTTACACATGTAATAGACTTGTAGATGACTATGGTGATGAAAATTCCAGTAAAACTACTCTCTAAAAAGTATTCGTACTTTAAAAAGCGAAAAAAGGTATTTGCAGTTTTGTAATTCATAGAAACTTTTTTTCGTTTGTACAATAGGAAACCTTTTTCCGACTGTAGATACTGTCAAAAGTATTGTGCAAGACGAATAAAGGGTACTTTAGAAACGAAAAAAGGTTTCTATTAGTTAGTTATAAATGCAAATACCTTTTTTCGCTTTCTAAAGTACGAATACTTTTTAGAGAGTGCGTTCAGTCTAATACTTGATCTAGAACTTTTACATCTCGTGTAAAACAGTCTTTTATTATGAGGTTTTCAGATTAGTGTTCTCGCCTGTATATTATACATATCAGTTTCTAACGCTAATAATACGTTGCGCTGCATTTATCGCGTATTTTCTTTCCAGAAATCGAATATTTATCCATGAAACAGACGATTTTCTCTTGATTCTTAAATTTCTAGTCCAATCACTTTGTTCTGATTGAATAATATCAGTTTTACTGGAATGATTAGTCGAAGTGCTACTATCAAAGTCACTTTCAAATTTTGATGTGAATTTGAAGATCTATGAAAATTCATGTGTAATTATTTTTTTTGCGTGAGCATGATAATGTTCAGGTGATTTACATGTTATGACGACGAGGGTGACTGTTGATCCTTTGAGCTTATCGTACCAGAAATGTTTATTATTGACTAATCGTATTTGATCCAAATTCTGACCTATACGTTAGTTAACCTTGAAAGTTTTTGTGTGAACGATTTGCAAACATAAAGAAATTATTAACTAAAAATGACTCAAGCTATAGACTTTGTAAAATGTCAAAGATGACTGTGCAATTGTTACATCAGGCGTTATTCGCATTTTAGTAAAGAAAATGAAAATCAAAGTATAGCATAGCATCTAAGATAAAATGAGTCAGAAGTGATCATCAAGGGGAACTATATTTACACAAATTTAAAAGTACTACATCATGTAAACCCCAAAATTCATAGGAAAGAATACTTATGATAACCACTGTACTTACAATAAGATCTAAGGAAAGAATATAAATGTCCAAAAGAGGGGAAATAAGTGGTAGTATTTCAAAACTATTATATTGATCTATTTTTTGTACGAACTTGATAAGTTCACTAGAATAAAAGCTTAAACGATTATACTAGTAAAAATATTTCAAGCTAATCATAAGCAACAACACATTCTCAATTAGATTCGATTAAAAATCTTTGCTATCGCTTACCGCCGTGTCGTCTGGATTTTCAAATACATTTGCTCGTTCTTTGGCTAGTCCACTGGCTACAACCGCTTGTGGTGTTAATTGTTGATCTTTATCTTTCGCTGATGTTGAATCAGATGTCACTGTTGATAAATACTGTTCTTTAAGATTACTGGCAAAACCGGGTTCAACTTCAACTTTTGTTTTATCTGTCGCTTTGAATTCTGACGTGGCTAACGATTCAAATCCTTTCCTTTTCGATGTGGCTGAACCTTGCTCTAAGGTATTCATATCAATATATTTATCGCCCGTACGCTGTTGTGCAGTGTCCGACGTTATCTTTGACATAAATTCTTCACGTTTCGCTTGAGCATTACCGGGTTCAATAGTGGCTTGAGCCAGATTTTCACGTTGATTTACTAATGTTACATCATTATCAACTTGACCACTTTCAAACTTTTGTTTCTTTTCTGTGGCTAGTCCAGATGGTACTGGTTCAACTTGGTGTTTTTGTACATGTTCATGATCATCAAACTCACCACGTTCAAATTTTGCCTTCTTTTCACTTGCCGCACCCGATAATAGATCGACATCCACTTTTACTTTTGCCACATGTGGTTCAATTTCTTGTTCAAATTCTCCTTTTTCAAATTTTGCTTTTCGTTCGCTTGCCGCACCCGATTGGAAGGGTATGTCGATGGTAGTTGTTTTTTCAATTCGATTTTCCAATTCACCTTTTTCAAATCGTTCTCGTCTTTCACTTGCCGCTCCTGACAATAGATCGGTATCAACAACGACTTTCGAAATATGTGATTCAACCTCTTGTTCGAATTCACCGCGTTCAAATTTCGTTCGTCTTTCACTGGCTGCTCCAGATAACAGTTCAACGTCTACAGTAGTTTTTGAGGGTTTTGGTTCAATTTCTTGTTCAAATTCACCATGTTCAAACTGTTGTTTCTTTGTTGATGCCATACCACTTTGTACACGGACATCAAGACGTTTTTCAGCTTTAGGTTTCTCTTCTATACCTTTTTCAAATTTGTCTTTGACATCTGCCATATCATGGTAGGGTATCTAAATACAGAAAAAAACGAGCATGCCATTATATATGAATAGAAAAATTTTAATGTATGGTCGTAAATACTGGTTTTAAAGTACTCACATGTTCTTTGAGACGTTTTTTTTTATTTCGTATAATATCTCCATTATCATCTTCCTCCTCTCCCTCTTCTTCTTCTTCTTCTTCTTCATTTTCAACATGACCATTTGAAGCTCCTTCTTCGAACCTAAAAGAAATTAGAACTATTAGAATTAGAGAGCAACTACATTATGTGTAATTTGCAAGGCGAGAGAGTGAAATCAACTGAAGTAGAACCGTCTTTTACTAATAACATAAACAACCTAATAGTATGACATATGAGGAAACACTAAATACATTCAAATTATATCTCGCGGAACAGTTTTACTATTTAGTTGAAGATATTGATAGACACAAAATCTATAGAAACTGAATGAATGTAATAAAGCGTGAAAAAATCAATTAAAAGATCTGTTTCTGGCAATTGATAACATTCGTTTTGATTCGTTGTGTTGAAATCTGGTCTCCTACAGACGTAGTTAGGGATAGATAGTGTGAGAAACAACAAGAGGATTAGTTTGTGCTATAACCAGGATACAAATGAATCTTATTTAATATATAAAAAAAGCATTTTTAGACCGAAATCACATATATCTATTGCTTTTTGACCGGTTATTTTATAATCTTTTGGAAAAGTGGTCTTACTGTGAGTCTAAATTTACCGTCATGCCGCTTTTTCGAAAAACTAGACAACATAGAATGAAAAGGGAGGAAACAATTACAAAGCAGAGATGGAATAAGAAGAGTAAAAAATTTGAAACGAAATCACTTTCACTCGTTTGTTTTCTGCTAGTAAAAGAAAAGTGGCATCTAACAACCACTTTAACTAATAATTTTTGAGAAGGAAACAATATCTTAAATAAGAAGAAGAAACTTTGGTTTTCTTCTTACCATACACTACAATGTAGAGCTCTGAAAAACTATATATGAATCATACGTCATGGTACGAGATGCTTCGAGATCATCAAAGATTGTAGAACAATTTAACTTGACTGTTTTCATTATAAACACACGGAGATGCGTCTGAAATTGCGGAAAAGAGACATTTTCTTATACCAATGAGATGTCCTTATTCTGGCATCGTGCATGCTCAGGAGATTGACGTTAGAAAACATGCCCACATTAAGATTGAAACTTAACATAAAAATTTAATAAGAATAAGTATGATGACAAAAACATAGTAACGCAACAGAGAAAATCAAGAAGGTTCATCGCCCTTTTATTCTGTCGCCTTAGAAAAAGTCACACAAGATACTGAAATTATCATTACCGATGACTTGACAAGGATGTTACAAGTTTCAAAGTGAACTGTATACCATTCCGACGGTCAATCTGTTCAAAATTGAAAGATATTTAGTATCTACGAAAATCTTTTCTATATATTTTCTCTAAGAATATTTTGTATTCTAACAACGAACAATAAAGAAGTTAATCTTTTTTGTATAAATTCTATTGCAAACGAGAAAGAGCAGATTATAAATAAATTACATTGAAAATGTGATAAAACTAAAGTTAAGATAACGACAAGATATAAAAGTGTTATAAGAAAAATTTTTGATAAATACTTCAAGCCAGACATGGAAAGATAATCATCCTTAACGATAAGAATGATAAACAGTTGGAAGCAGATATAATGTGATCTTTTAAAAGGTCAAAGTATGTTCTATTTCATAAAACATAGATATTTAGAGAATTTTAGACGAGAAAACAAACTAAAGTTCGATATAGTTACTTATTTTCTTTCTAAATGTCCAGATAATGACGCAATGACAAGAAAAAGGAAAACTCTTTGACATATAAAATTGTACAGTTTTGTGAACAAAAAAACCTAAACAATTAAACGTTAATGATTCAACCTTGAGATAGCTTTCAAACACTATTGATAAGAATCATTGTTTCAAGTGATGTTAATAGAAAACATTTCGTAAATCTCTATTGGGTCAAGTATTTTTCGAGAGATAAAACATAGTTTTACATTTCACGACAAAAGAGACAATAAATTCCGTTCATCCGTTTCTTCAGAAAGTAAAATTTGTTTAAGAAGAAGAATTTTGTTAAAAATATTCCAATATAATCTAAATCAGATCTCTGATACAGATTTTGCCATATTCTAATAACGTCAATTAAATTCTCATTATCTGAGGTCAATGTAGAATCAAAAGAGTTTATATCTACTATATTGATAGAAAGCGACTTCTCCACTCTCTCCATGCAAAAAAGAAAAAAATAATGTTTGATCAAGTACAGCTTCCTCCTCATATACGCAGTCATCTCTAGTGGAGTCATTTAAAATCAAGTTTGATGAGAAATCATAGATTACAATGTTTTAAACATGCATATGAGTACACCTACAAGTACTACATACATTTCACTTACACTATACCATTTAATTTATTATCCATTAGTTTTAATTCTGGTCTATAAATCGTCGCCAAGATGAAGAAGCTCTTGTGAACAAAAACAATGTAACGATGTTAGGGTTTTTTCCTCTCTAATTCCTCCTATTTGTGTGCTGTATAGTAGTCACTCGTGCGCAGCAGATTCGTTCAGTCAAATTGAGCAAGTGCGTGCGTCGTATATTCACACAGAATGAGGTAATTCAAAAGAGAAGTATATATTTGCATGCCTTTCTCTTTTATACACACGTTTAAAAAATATTATTATGACTATATTTGTCCCGCCTTGTCAAAACAAGAAGAAAAAAGAATGTCTAAAATTATTATTGCATATGATTTATATCTCATATGTACAGGTATGTATAATAATTATCTATTGATAAAACAAACAAAAAATATAAGATATTGATCGATTATTCGAATCATACTAATTGACAGCAGATAAATAGCTGAATTTTTTTATACTATTTTCAAATCAGGTGACATTTAGTTTACTTAAAACTGACAGAAATAATAAAAAGTTTTGATTAGATAGGACAACGCCGCCACATCACTAATGAAATTATCAACGAGCAATTATTACCAGAAAAGAGACGATTAAAAAGATAAAAGAATATTTTCAGACTAAGAGGACTGGACAAGGGGGAAAAGGGGGCTCCAGGGATGCTGGAAATCGAAAGAAAAAGTCGCCTTTCCCCCCTTGGGATTGAAGCTCCCTATAGAAAACATTCATTATTTGATCAGGAACATTTCAGTTAAAAATGAATACATTACAGTTACTTGAATTTTAGAACAGTAGCTTCTTTTTAAAAAGAAAACGTTTAGTAACGTGTACAAAATACCAAAACTATAGTGTAATATTGAAAATTTTACACGGAGTTTTCTTGAAATTTTCTGTATACTGTCAAAAGTAATATTTTATCATGTAGAGTAAGTCAAGTTAAACCATCGTAGAAATCTATAAATAACCACATAAAATTTATTTTGAGACTCCAGTGATCAATTCGCTAAAGAGTTCTTAACACGGCACCTGGAATTTTTCTGAAATGTACTTATTCAGTAAGATTTTGTGCAATACTCAAACTTAAATACCAGAGTAGCATCAACATTCTATGTTTTTCAAGCTATTTTGAAAATGTCATTATTTCCTTAACAGATGACAGAACAAAATACTACTTTTCCTGGTAGAGTAACTAGAGATGGGTAGGATCGAGACCAAAAAAGTTTTTTTATCGGGATCGGGACTACAAACTTTTTTTCCAGGACGAAACCGGGATCGACACTAGAACTAACGAGGGAACCTCTTGAGGTTATAAATCGCTTTTGAACTCGGACTACTTGTATCTTGTAGACCTCAGTGAGTAGTGAAATACCCTAAGTTGGTTCATCCCCATGGTGCTTTGTTGCTGAGA